GACGGCCTCGGCCTCGGCCACGGCCACGCTCTGGGCACCGGCTGGCTTTCTGGCGACGGCACACCCCCGCTGCAGCCTTGCACCTGTTGCTTTCTTTTGCTCTCTTTTGTTCTCTTAACGTGTGAAACTGTGTGTTCTGGCTCAGGGCCCGTCCGTCTCCTGTCGCCCGTGAACTGCCCCCCCGCGGCCGACCACCCCTGCGTGTCTGTGTCTGTGTGCAATGCACCGGGTCCCCGCGGTTCCTGGCGGGGCCGTGTGCTCTGACCCGCAGGTGGAAGCTCCCTCTGGAGGACACGGGGGTTTTGTGCTTTAACGGGGTCCCTTTATCTCGTGGACTTTGAATGGTTTCAGAACGTTTTAACGTCCGTTGTCTGCCGTGCGGGGGCGTTCGCGGAACTGGCCGTGCGCCCTGTGGGGTGGCGGTGCTCTCGGGGAGTTGGCGGGCCGCCCGGGCGGCCGTCACGGGGTCCTCCCCAGACGGAGCTGCCTGGCCTCGGGGGACACGGCCTCGCCGCGCCCTCCACCCGGAGCCCTGGGAGTCTCAAGTCGCAGCTGTGATACCTGCACTTGTGAATCGAGTCCCGGGTGCCGCAGCCGGGTGGCTGGTACGCACTTTGGGTTCAGAGTGTTGATTCCTGTAATCCTAATGTTTGTTTCTGTACTCGTGAAAACTGAGCGCAACGAAAACCTTTCTCGAATCCCTTTTCTTCTGGATGACAAAAACACGGGGAAAAAGCGCCATGAAGAATTTATACAATAAACACATGCACACACGCGCATATACACATGCGTGCACACCTCTGTTCACGTGCGGCGGGCCGGTACGTTTTCTCTGGAGGGGGTGACTGGATCCGAGGTCCCGATGCTGCCTGTGCCGCGGAACCAGCCGGGAGCCCTGCCTTGGGGGAGACGTTTGGCCACGTGGTTGGAGCCTTCCCGGGCCCCTGGTATTTAGCACCCGTCCGGGGCGACCAGATGGCCAGCGAGGACTTCTCTGTGTGGAGCCGGCACCCCAGAGGAGGGCACTGTCCTTACCCTGGACTCCCCCACGGTTCCAGGAAGCCAGGTGTCTGGACAACAGTCCTTGTCATTGCAGGAGCTGAGGGTCTGGCCGCGTGTCACCGAACCTGGGCTCAGCCCAGCGGGGCTTCCTTTTCTCCTGTCCCGGGAAGCTGGAGGCAGGTGTGTGCCCGGGGCCGTGCGGTAGCTGCCGGATGGCCAGCGCCCGTCTGTGCCCTGCCCGCTCTCCGTCCGTCTCCGCCTGCCTCCCAGCTCCCATCGTGTTCCAGGCAGGAAGGAGGAAGTGACGGGAGGGCTGGGTGAGGGGCAGAAACCACCCCCCCCCCCCAGCCTGTCCCCTTTCAATCGGCCAAACGGTGGGTTTTCTGGAAAACCCACCCTTTGCACATCTGCTTGTGCCTGAGTGACCAGAGGTGGGCCATACACGGCCACCCCTCGCTGCAGGGGAGTCTGGAGGTCTGAGCATTTTAAACAGGACCTGTTACCTTTTTCCTATTCGTTTCCTGTTGCTGCTGTAACAAATTACCACAAAGTCAGTGGCTTAAAACACAAATGTATTACGGTTCTGGAGCTCAGAAGCCCGACGCAGGTGTCACTGAGGGAAAGTCAAGGTGCAGGCAGGCTGCGTTCCTTCTGGAGGCTCCAGGAGAGACTCCCTTCCTTGCCTTTTCCAACCGCCAGAGGCGCCCTCGTCCTTGGCCGGTGGCTCATCCCTCCGTCCCCAGAGCCTGTGGCGCCTCCTGCCTCCCTCTGCCACACAGGAGACCTCTGAGATATGTTGGCTCCACTCGAATAATCCAGGATAATCCCCCTATTGTAACATCTACTGATGAGCAAAGCCTAACTCCATGTGCAGCCTTAACGCCCCTGACCACGGAACCTCACGTTTCCACCCGGCACGTCTGGGGCCTCGTCCCGCCTGCCTCACTTTGCCCGCCTGGCCGGGTCCCGCCGCTGAGGAAGACGGCGAGCGGTCCCCAGGCGGTGTGGGCCGTCGGGAGCCCTGGCGGTTGACTGACCCCAGGCTGGGGCATCCTCCCTGTGGGACCGGCCTGCCGGCCCCCTCCCTCCCAGGACTCGGGCCCGACCCTTCAGACCGACTGTGCCTCAGGAGTGGTGAGAGCTTACCTGCTGTGCCCTTTGAGTTCCAGCAGGACCCCCCAGGCTGGCTGAGCCCACGCGTCCTCATTAACAAGCCACGCTGGACAGCTTCGTTAATGAGAGACAGATGATCTGAACGACAGCCATCGAGCGCCCGTGGGGCCCGACCCTCCCCTGAGGTGCCTTGGCCTGGGCGTCGCCCTGCGAGCACCTGCCGGCCAGCTGCCTCTGCCTTTGCCACCCCGCCAGCCAGCGGCCCCTCCCTCCTCCTCCTTGATCCCCACCGTGCTCGTCCCCACCCCTCCAGAAGCACGGGGCCTGCAGCGTGGCCTGGCTGGGGTGGGGGTGGGGGGTTCCCACGGCCTGCGGGCCCCCGGGCAGCTGTCCGTTCTCTGGGTCTGTCTTCCCACCTCCGGGAACCTTCTGTAGGGGGACGGCCCCTTCCCACTCACACCGTGCCCACCCCCGCCTCCTGGCCTGTGCAGACGATCCTAGAGATGTTGGAACACCGTGTCGGGGTCACTTGATCCCTGACCCGTCCCCCTTTTGTGCCGTGTTTCCTCTGCACTGGCCCCAAAATGACCCCTCTTGCTGTGGGTACCTACCTGCCTGCTGGCCCACCTCCCTGCATATGAGCCCTGGGGGACCCCAGATTTGCTGCCTCATCTGGATCCCCGGCCCCTGGCGAGCCCCCTAGCAAATGGCTGAACCCACCAAGGCTTGGGAAAGGTGTCTCCCTGGCCTTCTCACCCGCCATCACCGTGGGCGTGTGTGACCAGGAGAGACCCTCCGCTCCCCTCGGGCTTCGAGGTCCCAGGGCAACGTCTCGTGGGGAATAAACTCCCTTTCAGGGCCCAGCCGTGTCCCCTAGCCCCGGGCTCCGCCTTCACAGGGACAGTGAAGCGCACACGTGTATCGGGGGTAAGTTGTGTCGTTGGGGTACAGGCTCATCTACTCTGATGAGCCCCCCCCCCCCCAATCTGGCTCGGTCGGAAAGAGTTTTTCCCCTACAACAGCTTTGAAGTAAATGGGTGGACTGGGTGGGGTGGGGGTGGGGGGCTGGGTAGGTGGCTTTGCTCTGCAGGGTCACCCAAGTGACCCGAGTTTCTTCCGCCTGGTTGCCGGGCCCTCCCCCGCACGGCAGTCCCGTGCACGTGACCGGCACTGGCTCGCTCCACTCACACCGCAGCCCCATCCCCTCTGCTTCCGGCACAGCGGCCCCTTCAGCCCGCAGGTGCACACAGCGGGGCTGGGCAGGTGCGCTTCAGCTGGGTCACACCTGGCCTGCAGCCAGAGGGTCAGCCTGGGGTAGAGCGCGTGTGTGCGTGCTTGTGTTTCTGTCTCTGCATCTCGAAGCTAGACTGTGAGGTTCATGAGACAGACTTGGCTTTTATCAACATTTTGGCCGTGTGTGTGCACGTTTGTGGGTATGCAAACGTCCGCGTGTGCGGGAAGGCGGGTATTTACGTGTGAACATGTGTATGTTGTGAATGTGCAGGTGTGCATGTGCTGACCTCACACCCTTGTCAAAACCCAGAAGAGCAGGGCAGGCAACACGTCAGGTATTTCTGCTTAACAGTTTTTTAAAAATGTTTGTTTATTTTTGAGACAGAGCACGAGCACAGGCGGGGCAGAGAGAGAGGGAGACACAGAATCCAAATCAGGCTCCAGGCTCCGAGCTGTCAGCACAGAGCCGGGATGCGGGGCTTGAACTCACGAACTTGAGGTCATGACCTGAGCCCAAGTCAGATGCTTAACCGTCCGAGCCCCCCGGGTGCCCCGGGTATTTCTGTTCTAATCCAGGGTGAGGGACACAAGCCTAGCCCCCGCTCATGGGCGCGCCAGCGGGAATCTTCCCCTGTCGCACCTGCCTCGTCCGACTGTGGCTGCTCACGGCCCCACCGCCTCAGCCTCGGCCCTGAACAGATTTCCAGTTAGGGGACAGTTTTCTCTGTGTGCAGGCCGAGCGGCTTTCCCTGGGTATTCCACAGAGCCGGGGACCAGGCACTGAGCTTCTCTTAACCGGTGCCCCTGTGTTTGTCCCCGGGGCCGGTGGTCACCAAGAGTGGTGAGCCTCTGGCGCCATGGAGTGAGCGTGTCCGGCAGGGCCCGTGGTCAGCAAGGAAGGGAGAGGTGGTCTGACCGGACACCACGGTCGAGGCCTCTCCCGGCACACGGCGCCGAGCACGGCCTCGGAGGGAAGATGCCACCATGAGGAGACGGGGGTGGGGGGGGGGGGGGGGGGGGGGGGGGGGGCGGCCCGTGGGTGGAGGAGAGCAAGCCTGCGTCCAGGTCCCGAGAAGGGAACGGAAGGACCCGGGGCAACAGGGGGAGGTGATTTGGAGAAGGTAGGGTACCGAGCCAAGCAGGGGAGGGGCCGCGGTGCGGAATGTGGGGCGCGGGTTGGGTCCCGAGAGCCACGAGGAAGCCATGACGGTGTTGAGCCCAGCAGTGACACCGGTGGACGTGCATTCAGAGGGTGGCGGGGCGGGGGGGGGGGGGCAGCGGGAAGGGCGCCCAGTGGTGAGACTTCTTCCCAGCTTCCTCTCGCCTCCTCTCTCCTCTCGCTACGGCCCTGGCACCGCTTGTGCGCAAAACACGAGAACCCTTCCGGTCCAGCAAGCCAATCGGTGTCGAACACACAGCCGGGACAGGCAGATTTCGTGTTGGCTCCGGCTTTGACGAGCTGCCTTTTACGTCCGTTCTAGAAGCCTGCTGCTGTCGTGTCCCCAAGTCTTCGAGACGGTCGTAAGCAAGTCAGTAAAGGCCTGTTAAGATGATGCTGAAAATACATCACGAGCTAAGCACCGACTCCACTGGCACGGGTGGTCGTGTTGGAGCACACCCTTGACCATCACGGCGGTAAGCGGATGGCCTCATGATTTCATTAGGCGACTTCCAGGGGAGAAACAGTTGTTAGTGGACTCACGTGCCGGAGGAGTTTCCAAACTTCTGTACGTTGGGATGCCTTCCTGTTCTTCCTGCGACCATGCTGGTGGGCCTGACCTAATCAGGCGAGTCCTTTATATGAGGCCTTCCCTGAAATCAAACAGCAGAGACTCACGGCTTTGGAGAAGCAAGCTACTGTGACTTCTAGAGCCTCAAAGAAATGAGTTCTGCCATAAACCTGAAGAAGTTTGGCAGGGGATCCTTCCCGAGTTGGGCCTCCAGATGAGAACACAGCCTGACCTTCACCTTGACTGAACCTGTGAGATCCTGAGCTGGGCACGAGCTAGGCCATGCGTAGCCTCCTGGCCCACAGAGGTAATACACAAGTGTTGTTTGAGCTACTGTGTTTGTGATAATTTATTATAGCTTATTATGCAGCAGTGGAAAGCGCATAGACAGTCGCAGTCGTCCGGGCCTCAGCAAGTAGGATCACGCTCCACTTAGCCCCTTTCTGTGTTTGAGTCCTGTCTCCTTTGTCCTGCCCAGGTCCTTGAGGATTGGACTCTTCCTCCTTCACCTCTTTCCTGTCTCTCTACCCCTTGGTCCCCACCGTGGTCAAGGCTTCATTTCGGTTGGAGCTGACACTGTGACAGGAAGCCAGCTCTTAACGGTGGCTTCAGGCTTAGCGGGACCCAGGGGCTGAGACCATATCATCACGATTCGGTATCTCTCCTGGAATCTCTAAGGGCAGTGGAGTGTGGCGGTTAGGAGTGTGGACTCTGGAATTGGGTTGCCAGGTGAAATAAAGGGTGTTCAGGGGACGCCTGGCTGGCTCAGTCGGTGGAGTGAGCGACTCTTGATCTTGTGGTTGTGAGTCTGAGCCACACGTTGGGTGTGGAGCCTACTGAAAAAAATAAAATAAAGGGGCGCCTGGGTGGCTCAGTCGGTTGAGCGTCTGACTCTGGCTCTCAACTCAGGTCTTGATCTTAGGGTCGTGAGTTCAAGTTCCTGCATTGGGCTCCGTGCTGGGCACGAAGCCTACTTCAAAAAATAAATACGTAAAAATAAAATACGTTAACAAATATAGGATGTTCGGTTAAATTTGAATTTTTTCAGGCCGTGAATAGCTTTTTAGTGTAATAGATCCCAAATACTACCTGGGACATAATTACACCAAAAAAAAAGCGTTCGCTGTTTATCCGAAATTCAAACTTAGCTGTCCTGTAGTTTTGCTAAACCCGGCAACCCTGTTCTGAACCCAAGTACTTGGATCGCTGTTTATCCGAAATTCAAACTTAGCTGTCCTGTAGTTTTGCTAAACCCGGCCACCCTGTTCTGAACCCAAGTACTATGGTTGTCTGTGTGACCATAGAGAAGTTCCTTAACCTCTCTGAGCCTCATTTTCCTCACTATAAAAGTGGCGGTTAAAAGACTGCATCTTAAAGGGTTGTGATGAGGGTGAAGTGATCCCATGGCCTAGGAATAGAGCCAGGCATCTGGTAGATGCTGAATAAACATTAGCTAGTTACCTTACAGCCCCTAGTCTTTCCTTCTGTGTAAGCTTCAGTCTCAGGGTTTTTTGTTTGTTTGTTTGTTTTTCCTTCCCCTGAGGCCTGGGGAGGAATCCCATTGGCCTGGCCAAGGTCATGTACCCATCTCAGACCCAATCACTTTGACCAGCGGAACGGGAAGTTCTGATTGGCCACAGCCAGGTCATGTGACCGCCCCTGCCGGTGGCCTGTGGGTCCGCCCCCCTGCCAGCCCCTGCAGTGAGAGTGGGAGAGGGGAGGTCCCTCGCAGGTGATTCAGGGAGCCTGCTGACGGCAGAGGGGGTCTGCAAGGACTGGTTCCCAAGGCCTCGGGCTCCTCGGCACCCTTTGGGGGCATCCGTGAAACGGCCGGATGGAGGGGAAGTGCTGGTGAACTTGGAGCTAGGGTACCGCCTTCTCCCCACCTCACCGGCTCCACCTTGGGCGATGGTGCCCCGTGAAGGCCCCTGGAGGCCTTGTTTCGGGAGGGAGCGGGGAGGGAGCATGGCCTGGATCTTGCCCGCAAGAGTTCCCTAAGAGAATTCCTGAAGAAAATTGGATTTTCTGGTTCTGGACGTTCACGTGTAACGAACGCAAGTGAGCCTCGCACGCGCAGACCGCAAATGCAGACTTGGGTTTTGAGGATCAGCCAGATTTAACCCGAGACGGGTCACCTTTTGAGGGGCGGCAGCTCCATCTGGGGTAACCCTCTCTGTCAAAACTGTGGGCTTGTCACAGCTAGCATTTCCTCTGGGAGGAGCAGTGCCTCGCGGTGGCGGCGGCTGAAGGAAACCGGCAGGACAGTTTTTGACAGGCGTTCTGGTGGGGAGGGGTGTGTCTGTGTCCCCTCTCCTTGAACCTGGGTGGGCCGGTGACTGGTTCGATCTACAGAGTAGGACAGGTGGTGCCCGTGGTTTCATAGGCTTGGTCGGGGAAGCCCTGGAGCTCGGCCTCGTCCCTTTGGGGTTGCCCGCTCGGGGGGAGCCCCTGACCACGTGAGAAGTCTGGGCATGTAGGCAAAGCAGATGAAAACAGGATCTCAAAGAGATGCTTGCATTCCTGTGTTCAGTGCAGCGTTATTCACGACTACCGAGGTACGGAAGGCACCTCCGTGCCCATCAGTGCGTGCGTGGATGAAGGTGTTTTATATCTGTGTCTGTGTTTCTACCTATGTCCGTACCCGTATCGTTGTACCTCTGAAACGTACCCACTGTTAGGTGTAAATTATGCCAGAAACAAACAAACAAAAAGCCTGGCTTCCTTTGAGGGCACCAGGCTGGAGCAGCCACATGGGGGCGCTCTGGTCCAAAGTTCCCGTGGAGCCCAGCCTTCCAGCCATCCCTGCCGAGGTCCCCGGCACATGAGGGGGGCCATCTCTGACCCTCCAGACCAGCCGTCTGCCAGCTGCATATCATTGAGCGACCTCAGCTGACGCTACGTGGAACAGAAGAATTACCCAGTTGGGCTCTGCCTGAATTTCTAACTGTGGAATCCATGAAATATAATAAAATTATTTTCGTCTGTGCTGCTAAGTTTGGGTTAGTTATGTAGCAATAGTCTTCAGAACGCGGCTCCTTTAGAGTAGGGCCGAGCTGGTGGCGTAATACTAGAAGAAGGTCGGGTGCAGCCTGGGGAAACGTGGGGACAGCAGGAGCCTGCTCTGTGTCCAGGTGACAGCCATTATTGGGACGCACAGGTATAAGAGGCTGTGAATCTGAAGCAGACGCTCCGGGTTCAAGTCCGGCCTCGGCCAGCTGGGTCACAATGGGTGTGGGTTTCTCAACCACGCGGCCTCAGCTCTCCCGTCTGTAAAATGGGGTTTCTGCGAACTGCAAATTTGACAATAAGAAAGAACTGTCTCCAGCCGATGGCCAGGGGTTCGACTCTAGCCTGCGAGCGTGTCTGTCTAGACTCTACTTGTTTTATTATTCGGATCCAGTATAGACACTGGGAGATTTCACAAGCTTTTCTTGCAATCACGTGGTCATAACAGCTGGCATAGTGTGACCGCCTGGCACAGGCTGGACACCATTCCGCGGCTTTGCACGCGCGATTCCTCTGACCTCTGTCTCATCGTCATCCTCCCCGGGGCTCTGCCAGAAGTGATCCAGCGAGCGAGGGGGGGCCGCCCAAGCGGGAGCCACAGCGGGAGAGAGGACCATGAGAAGACGTTCCCTCCGGCCCCTGCCCGGGTTTAGGCACAGCCCTGGGGGGAGGGGGGACCCCACATGTGACTGACGTCGATGTCGTGTCCCCGGGAGAGGGGGGTTCGCGGGAGACCTTCCTCTGGGTCACGGAAGAATGAAGTCGGTTTCTGCCAAGCCGAGCGTGTGTGGGCTGCGCCTGAACAGAAGCTGCCCGTTGAGCGAGCCCTCCCGGAGCGCCCAGGCCGGTGGCGACGCCTGAGCGAGCAACTCGTTGGATCCTCCCAGGTCCCCACGGAGAAGATGCCGGAGGAGATGCCGAAACGGTCCCTGTTTTCACAGAAGGGAGACCGAGGTGTAGACCTGCCTGGGGCCACGCGTTAGCACGCGGGATGCACGTGGCATTAGGCCCCAGGCATGCTGGCTGCCGTGCTGCCTCTGTGTCCGCCCCCCCCCCCCCGCCATGGCCCCCTTCCCGGGAGAGCCGGACCGGTGTCCTCTGTGGCCCAGACGGCGGGGCCCCGTGCAGAAAGGAAGCCCGGGGCGGCCCGGCGCGTGGCTCTCTGCCTGCAGTCCGTGCTTAAGGGCCGCCGGTGGGGACCAGAGACAGGAAAGGCGTCTGCGGGAGGGAGCTGACGGCTCTGCTCTCCCACCCAGCCTGGGCTGCAGGAGCTGACCCGCGTCACACAGCCTCGGGCTGGCCGCGGTCCCCGCGGTTTCGGTGATGACTGCCGGGTCCCCTCTGGGCACTGACTGCTGGGCCAGGTGCCACGTGCTGGAGGCGGCAAGCTCGTTTGTGTCAGCGGGGGCTGTCCTGGGAGCCGGGGCTCGTGGCTCCCACTGGGGGGGCCTGCCGGACCATCCTACCGTGGGCAGGCTCAGGACCACAGGCCGCAGGGGCTGGCGCCAGTCGTCCGGGCCCGAGGCTGGCCGGAGCTAATAACAGCCAGCATGGCCGTGGCGCTCGCAGCGTGCCGGACATCGTGCTGAGGCTCGTCCTGAGGACAAGCCTAGGACAGACACACCATCATTATCCCCATTTCGCAGATGCGGACTGAGGCGCCAGGTTCAAGGAACTGGCCACGAGGGGGCACAGATGCGTGGGTTCCGGATGCCGGCCTTGACCTGCCGAACCTGTCAGACGTCGCTCCCAGAAGGACGGAGACGATCCCCCTTTTGATAAGCCTCATTGTGTGGTCCCGTTTTGGGGTGGTTCTTGAATGTCTAGGTTGATTAAAAAAAAAAAAAAGACGCTCCAGTGAAAAAGATCAGTTGCCGTGTATGGTTTCCAAGTCACTGGGATGCCGTCAAAAACCCTCTCGTATGTTGGAGCCTCTAATTAGATTTGGAGGGGAATGATTTCAAGTGTCATGAAATTTTAAAAGAAAGCGTTCCATGAATGGTATTTCCCATTATTCCAGCTTGATTGAAATTGTGGGTTTTTAAGACGATGCTATTTATACTCTTAAGACAATGGAGCTTTCAAAAGGATTCGATTCCTAGGTCTTCATATGTGATTTCTAGGGAAGTGGAAATTTTCAGATTTTCAGAATGAATGTGTTTTTGTGGTTTCCCTTCTTTTCTTTCTTTTTTTTTTTTTTTTTGCTTTGTTTTTTTTTTTTGGTTTTGTTTTTTTAAATAACTGGAGACAGCAGTGTCTCTCTCCCCCCGATGGGAACCTCAGGGTTCTTGCCAAAGCGTGTATCACATAATTGCTTTCGTGTTCAGACCCGGCAAGAGCACGTTGTAAATGGCTGAGACACAGATGTGACAATTCTATTAGGCCTGGGTTCTTGCATGGTTGACCTTGCAAATTGAATTCGGGGAGGTCAGCCCTACCTCCTGGCTGCTAGATTTCACGTCCACAGTTTGGGGAGAGGCCTGGCAGGTGCAGGCTGAGATGTCCACAGTTTGGGGAGAGGCCAGGCGGCCACTCTGACCCTTCCCATCCCACATCCCCCGCCTCACATCCTGGGGTCTTCCTCTGCGCCCCAAACAGAAGGCGGTGGCCAGTGATCGATGGGCTCGTGCCTGCCGTGGCATCATCAGCCACTCCATCAAAGTGACAGTGTCATTTTTAATATTGCCTCTTCAGACCTGAGGTTTATTTTGAAGTTGGGAGTCAGCCAGCCTTTCCAGAGAGAGAACCACAAGAAGTTTAGGGCACAGTCCCTGACCCTGGATGCTGGGGAGCTTTTACACAATACCCATGCCCATAAAGATGCCTTCGGGGTGCAGGAAGTGTTCCATATTTTGAGCCATGGGGTGGTTGCTTGAGCTTATGTATGTGTCCCAAAAGTTGAGCTTCGGTGAGGATGTGGGGAAATCAAGCCTTTTGCGTTGCTGGTGGGGATATGACATGTGTGGCCGCCGTCGAAATAGTTTGGCAGGTCCTCAAAAAGGTAAGTGCAGGGGCGCCTGGGAGGTTCATCAGTTGAGCGTCTGACTTCAGCTCAGGCCATGAACCTAAGGCTCATGAGTTCGAGCCCCGGTCGGGCTCTGTGCCGACAGCTTGGAGCCTGGAGCCTGCTTCGGATTCTGTGTCTCCCTCTCTCTCTCTGCCCCTTCCCCGCTCATGCTCTGTCTCTCTCTGTCTCTCAAAAAGAAATAAACATTAAGAAAAAAAAAAAGGTAACTGTAGGTCTACCGTGTGACCCGGTGAGTCCAGTCCTAGCTATATTTTCCAAAAGACTTGAAATCGGGAACTTACACAGACATTTGCACACGTGTTCAGAGTAGCACCGCTCAGAGCAGTCGCAAGGTGCAAACAGCCCGCGTCGCGTGGCCATCGGCAGATGCCGGGAAGAACAGGTTGTGGTCCGTCCACACACTGGAGTCCGATTCAGCCGTAAAAGGAAGTGAAACTGACCCACACTACAGCGTGGACACACGTTGAAAACACGCTAAGTGAGAGAGGCCAGACGTCGTAGGATGCCACTCGCATGAGACACGCAAATTCAGAGGGACAAAGTGGAACAGAGCTCACTGGGGGCTGGAGGAAAGGGCAGGGGGAGTGAGCGTTAACATGAGGTTCTGTTTGGGGGGATGAGAAGTTCTGCAGGCGGATGGTGGCGATGGCCGCGTACGGGGTTAAGGTGGAAAACTCTGCGTTACGTGTACTTTCCCACAGCAAGATATAACTGAGATCTGGATGCGGGAGGGGCGCCTGGGGGGCTCAGTCAGCTAAGCATCTGACTTCGGCTCAGGTCACCGTCTCACTGTTAGTGAGTTTGAGTCTCACGTTGGGCTCCCTGCTCTCTCAGCACAGAGCCCGCTTTGGATCCTCTGCCCCCCTGTCTCTCTCAAAATAACTACATAAATAAAACTTAAAAAAAAAAAAAAACTGATTCCTAGGTCCTACTCCTAGAGATTCTGCTTTTCATGGTCTGCAGAAAACACATTGATGTTTTTATTTTTGTAGAGAGCACGAGCAGGAGAGAGGGGCCGAGGGAGAGAGAGAGAGAATCCCAAGCAGGCTCGAGGCCCAGTGTGGACCCCGATGTGGGGCTCGATCCCATGACCCTGGGACCTGAGCCAAAATCAAGAGTCAGACACTCAACTGACTGAGCTACCCAGGCGCCCGCAGGCATTGATGTTTTAAGGAAGACTTGCCGTGAAAAATGTATGATCTGGAAAAAGGGCAGAACCCAGGCGTAGAAAGCCCTCAAGAAAAAGGACGGAGCGATCCAGGTTGAGGCTGGCCGTCTGGAAAGGCCAGTAGTCACGTCCAGGGCGGTTTGCTGCTGTAGGGCCCGTCCCCCAAGCCCCTCCCCCCCACCCCGCCCCCTCTCACCGGGCGGCCGGCCCGGCAGTCAGCGGGGCGGGTCCTGGGTGGTTATGATGGACAGAGCCTCCGCCCTCCAGCTTGCGACGGGCCTGCGGAGTGAAATAAACACCGACAGGTGGGCTTGACTGTTCCTGCAGCGGAAGAGTCTGCCCTGGCCGATAGAAGGCCCCCCCCCCCCCCCGTCGGACTTGAACTTGAACGAGGGTTGGGCCTCCCACGGGCGGAGGAGGGGAGGCCTTTCGAGGGCCGGAAGCTGACAAACCTGGGGCCTGGGACTGTGTGCCCCGCGATGGGGACAGGCAGAGCCTAGTAGGGGAGGAAGGGGAGGAGGCCTCGGGGGGGGGGGGGGGGGCGGGGAACAGAGTGGCGAGGACCTCAGTGCTTGGTGAAAGGTCGTTGGGTGGAGGGATTAATATTTGCCAGATGAAGTGATCTTTTTCTTCATTTATTTCACTCTTTCCTTGACCCTTTCCTGCCCCCGCCCCCGGGCAGCTGGGGTCTGTGTGAACCAGAAGGGGAGACGGAGCTTGGGGGGCGGGGGGCAGAGAGAAGAGTTGTTTTATAACTTTTACTTAAAATGTTTTTATTATTTAAATTTTTTATAGCTTTTACTTTTTTAATGTTTATTTTTTATAGCTTTTACTTTTTTTTAAAAAAAATTTTTTTTTAACGTTTATTTATTTTTGGGACAGAGAGACACAGAGCATGAACGGGGGAGGGGCAGAGAGAGAGGGAGACACAGAATCGGAAACAGGCTCCAGGCTCCGAGCCATCGGCCCAGAGCCCGACGCGGGGCTCGAACTCGCGGACCGCAAGATCGTGACCTGGCTGAAGTCGGACGCTTAACCGACTGCGCCACCCAGGCGCCCCAATAGCTTTTACTTTTTATGTTTTTTTAAAATCTTTTTTTATTTTTGAGAGACAGACAGACAGACACAGAGTGTGAGCAGGGGAGGGGCAGAGAGAGGGAGACAGAATCCGAAGCAGGCTCCAGGCTCCGGGCTGTCAGCACAGAGCCCGATGCGGGGGCTGGAACTCACGGACTGCGAGATCATGACCTGAGCCGAAGTCGGGCGCCCAACCGACTGAACCACCCAGGCGCCCCTGTAGCTTTTACTTTTTGAAGTCTAGAGCTGGGTGTACAGGAAGACAGACAAAAAATAGGGAAAAAAAGCATGATGAGGAGCAGGGTTTCCCTGCCCCACCCCCAGCAGACCAGAAGATTCTCTGGACTGGAGGAGAAGCCGAGAGAGAAGACATTGCTGGGTATGGGGTGAGGGGAGCCTGGCTCCCCGGGTGACTCCTCTGGCAGCAAAGTCCCCAGATTCCTTATTGGTTCTAAAAGCAGAGGGGCTCTGGTTTCCTGAGGGACGGCCTGGGTGGGTAGTGAGTGGTAGGAGAGCTGGGATGCTTCGGCAGCAAGGAACAGAATGCCCAGAGAGTAGGGATTTAACGAGCACAGGCATTTAATGATCTCCTGTAACCTAAGCTGGGATCACTATGAGGCTCTCTGGGCACCGTCTTTGCGAGTTACTTGGCCTTCTCCTCGCGGTCACAAGGTGGCTGCCATGGCGTCGGCATCACATCCTCACACATCTGTGTCAATGGCAGGATGCGGGGCTGTGGGGCGGCCAGTGCAGCAAGAAGAATGTTTGTGGCCCTCCCTGTGGGAATGTTTTCCCCAGAAAAATCCCCAGCAGCCTTCCCCTCTAATTCATCGTCCAGGGCCGTTTCTCAGGGCCCCCCCAGCTACGAAGGAGGCTGAGAAGCAGGTACTGCAATCCTTCTTTTCTCCCCTCATTTTTGCTCTGACATAATCTCACTAGAAGAAAAGTTGCAAGCATTGCACACACAAAAAATACCCATATCCTTGACTCACATTCTCCAAATGTTAACATTTGCTTTATTCTCTCTTTTTTCTCTCCCCTCACATGGGCGCGCACGCACACGCACGCGCGCGCGCGCGCACACACACACACACACACGTGTATTTCTTCTGAATTGTGTGAGTCAGTTGCAGACATAATGTCCCTTTATCCCTAAATACTCCATTGTGTGTTTCCGAAAAACAAAGGCATTCTCTTACGTAACCGCGGCGCAATGATCAAAATCAGGGAATTAACATAGAAACAATGCTATGATCCAATCTGTCGGCCTTTTTGCAGATTTCACCCGTTGTCCCCATAATGTCCTTCACGGCAGAACAAAACCCCGTGTCACACCTTACACGCAGTTGTCGTGCCTCCTGAGCCTCTGTTAATCGCACACACTGCCCGAGACTTCCTTTGCCCTCCGCGACACTCGTCTGTTGAAGAGGCCGGGCCAGCCGCTTTGCGGCGGGGCCCCTTGGATGGGGCTGCCTGGTGTGATTCGGTCGGGAGCTCGCAGCAGGACCGCGTGGAGGTGATGCTGGACGCTTCTTGCCGCGTCGTATCTGGGGCCGCGTGCTGTGGACTGGTCCCATTTCTGGCAGCGTCAGCTTTGGCCTAGTGTGAGGCCGGGTGTGCCAGGGGGCCCCGCTATGAACGTGCTCTTGTAGCGGTAGGCTTTCCACCTCAAGAGTGGGAATGGGTGTCGGGGTGGCCAGCGCGTGAGGTGACCACGGTCTTGCACGTCTGACTTTGTGAACTGCCCCCCCCGCCCCCCCCCCCCCCGCCGCAGTCCTCAGGAGACGCAGAGTTACGTTCTCTCCTCTTAGCTACGCTTCTGAGGACCTACTGTGTGGCAGTCTCCTGGGCAAGACCCCATGGGAGGGAGGGAGCTAATGTTTCTTGCACACCTACTATGGGCCACACTTTGGGTGAGGCGCTCATATCCACTCTCTCATTGAAATTAGCATCTCAGCTCTAAGGGCTGGTACTGAGTAGTGATTTGGGGGGGGGGGGGACTTGATTCATTTCGAGAACCAGAGAAACCATTCACAGCTTCCCTGATTTCTCAATCTGCCTCACCTCACTTGAGTACAGTTGCTTTTTTTTTTTTTAAAAAGCATCTGAACTATTTTCCATATCAAGTGTTTCAAGGACCTAATTATGAACTTCATTATAATTGTTCATTAGTTATATTTTGTTCAATTACTTTAACAAGTTGCCAAATGGAACACAAAGCCGGCAATTAGCATTATATAATTGTAACGAGGCACTCAAATTGGGTTATAGAGTGTTGTTTTTGCCTGTGTGTTTTCTCCCCAGGGAAGACAGACTGACGGAAGGTGATGGCCGGCCGTCCGTCCGCTCATCAGCTTCGTCCAAGCTGTCAGGGGTGGGAGCAGCCTTTTCTTTTGTACAAAGGTCAAGTTTGGAAAAATGGCGATGCATAGGGACGGTGCTCAAAATGTGCCAGAGAACGTTCTATTATATTATGTCATCGATGATGAGCATTATACGACATTACATGGCAGTCACTGTTTTAGGCGCGTCTATATCCAAGAATGCGTTGAATCTTCCTGTCGGGTGCCTGAGGGTGAGAGCGGTCATTTCCCCATTACACAGATGGTGAAATCGAGGCACAGGGTCTGGGCCACTCGCCCGAAGTCACACAGCCGGGAAGTGCCTCCAGCTCCAGGGTCTGTAGTCTTGACTACGGCTTTCTATTGGTTATTGAGTCTCAGAAAAAAATCGTATACTTGGAAAAACGTTGGTTACCCACTTTCTCCGATAGGAGACCATCAGCGAGAAAAAAAGCGACACTGAATTTTAGCCGCGTAATTGTTAACGTCTGACTGTATTTTAGAGGTAGGAATATGAACGCAGCCTTCTACCGTGTGTCCTAGAACGAGTCGCACGCTGTCTCCCGTAGCTGCCCTTGACCCAGCGGCTGTGTCTGCAGGCTCTGTCCCCTGCTCACTTTGATCTGTGCAAGTTTCCACAGGATTCCATTAACTAAAATATTCACTTATCAAACTTAAAGGAGCGGGCTTGACCAAGAACTTTAGATTCTGAGGAGAGCAAGTGAAAACACCCAACCCATCCGGCTTTAGAAAAGGGAAGATCTGGGGAGCCTGGGCGGCTCAGTCGGCTAAGCGGTTAAGTATCCGACTCTTGGTTTCGGATCAGGTGGGTCAGGATCTCATGGTTCCTGAGATCGAGCCCTGCGTTGGGCTCTGTGCTGGCAGTGCAGAGCCTGCTTGGGATTCTCTCTGGCCCTGCCCCTCCCCTGCTCATGCACTCTCAAAACAAACAAACAAACAAACAAACAAACAAACACACAAACACAAACAAGGGATGCTCTATTGGCTAATGCCACCAAGAAGTCTGGGTATGGATTTCAAGCATGGCTGTATCCAGGACCTCAGACCAGGTCCTGGGTGCATCTCCTCTGTCCCACCAAGGGTGCTGCCGCCCTCTGTGTCCAGTCACCGTCAGGCCACTGTCCTTGCCAGGTAGCAAGAGGCCACCGATGTTCCGTGTGCCCTGCCCTGGGGCCACTGCTGTGTTTCCCTGCGAGGAGACCTTCCGTGGCAAGCGACAGGTCAGTGGGCAGCCTGTGGGGTCTCCCTGTGCCTCTGAGCTGCACCCCGCCAGGGACCGGGACTTGGACCAGGATGGGGCAGCAGAGGGGAGGGTGGTGGGGGTGTGGGCACCTCTGCTCAGCACCTGTGCAGGTGTCTTGTGCAGTCATGTCCACATGGGGGTCTCGAAGCCCCCACCCAGCTCCGCCTCTCCCCCCCCGTACCTTCCGCAGGGGCCCCCCAGTCAATCTCTTGCTTTCCATCAAGTCATGTGGAAACGCCTGATTTCACGTCAGCGCCCGATTCCCCGGTCGCCCGACGTGCATCCTTGTTATCTAGGAAGCTGGTCTTCGCAGGGCCTTTCCCAAGAGTTCCAGCAAAGTCCGTGGGCCTGACCCCCAGGGCTTGACATTGCGGGAGCCCTCCCTGTGGAGGATTGGCCAGGCTCGGGTCATGTGGCCCCTTGTGGGTCTGCAGTTTGACTCCAGGAGAGAATGTAGCTCCCCCGAGGAAAGCCTGGGCCCTCTGCGCGGAAGGGAAAGGGAAACGCTTCTGGTCAGGCCCAGGTAGCAGACCTGCCTTGGAAGGCCGTGAGTTCAGAGGGCCTGGCCCTTAGCCAGCTTGTCCCGTGGGACTCAGTGTCCACATCTGGGAAATGGGCATATGGCACGCGGATCTCATTCTGTGTCTGTCGCTCCGCCTTTGTGTCTTTCTCTCTCTTCCTCTTAGCTGGTCTCCGCTCACAGCTCTCCTAACAGCGTCCATCTGGGCTCCGTGCTGTTAGCAAGAGCCTTGTCCAGATGGCCGGACAGGTTTAAGTTGATGGCTCGGTGTGCTAATGACACAGAGCTAATTCTTAATAATGATGAAAGGCAGTAAAACCTGCGTCTGGGTCCGATCGAGATCCCTGGTCAGACCGTACTGCCTGCTGTGGTCCTGGCCGCTGTCACCAGGACGGGTGCGATCGTTCCGGAACGGGGGTTTAGCTGCGGCCTTGGTCCCCTCCCGGTAAGGCCTC